CAAGACGGTTAAGCCAGGGAAAACGCTTCCCTCGCTCCTGAGCTCTGCAAGCCCACCTCACGTCCTGCTCTCCTGCAACTGCAGAGCCTGAGGGCCGGTGTGGGCCGGTGAACGCTGTCTTGAGATATTTTCACTTCCCTCCCCCAAAATGCAGCGTTCTGCTGCAGCTTTCCACAAGTTTTAATCTCCTGCAATGATGAGAAAGGAAAACTCCCCTCCTGCCCCATCAGAAACTTTGGGATGAAGCGGGAGGCTGGCCCAGGCAGCGTCAAACATTCTATTTCAAACAAGGAATCCATTCTAGGCACAGGCACAGAAACAGGTTCAGGAGTCCAGGTTGTTATCAACACCACGGCCTCCTTCTCTGCTCTTTTTAACCACCGAGAGGGTTTTCACCAAGTCTGAGGGGCAGCTGGGGCACAAGGGGTACCTGCACTGAGCCAGGAGCTGCTGGTGGTTTCCCCCTCAAGGCTGCACCCATCTGAATACTTCTACATTAAAACCCAGTGTTTCGAGCGTTATCCATTTTCAGTGTTATCAAGTTTCAAGCGTTATCGATTTCCATCTCTCACAAAACAAGACACCCATTAACTCCTGCTTCAGTATTTTTTCTAACTAAAACCATCCTGAAAGACGCAACTAAAGAAACCAGTAACGGAGGAGCGAAGTGCATCCTCTGGAAGGGAAATTGTTTCTCTTGAGGCGAAGCGAGGGCCTGAGCCTGCAAACCGCTGGGAGCCTCTGGGGCTGGAGAACTCGGCAGATGACTCACATCTTTACTCTTTTTTTCAGTCCCCTCCTCTCGTTTTTTAAGGAGGCCGGCGCTACCTGTTCTTAAGCAAGAGCAGAGCGACTTCCTGGACGCCACGCCACAATACCCACTTTGCCGCCTATAAAAAGCCACCTCTCACACGAGTTCCCGGTGCTGGTCGGGGACGCGCGCTGAGCACTGAGCACCACAGGGCTGTGACTCACCCGCTTCACCCCTCCACAACTGACGGCAGCACTAAAATTACCGCGCTCCCAATTTTGAGAGCAACAAGATGGGTGACGGCGCTCCAGTCATCCGCCTCGGCCTGAAATCCTGAAAGTGTCCGCTCCGACGTCGTTCTGAACTTTGGAGATTTGAGTCGGTGCTGGAGTCGTGCTGAGGACGTCAGAAGAGAAACAGAGTGAGCAGAGGTGCCACCAACTCACCACCAGCCCTTGAAAGCCGACGGTTGGCAAGGGGAAGAGCTTTTTTTCTTTCCAGAAAGCACCAAAGCCGAGGTGATTTCAGATTCCAGCCCTTCAGGCTGGGCAGGTATCAAATCCAAGATAAAGAGCCCAACCGCGCGTTGTCTGAACCCTGAGTCACGGTGCCCACACCAAGGCTGCCTCCGTGCTCCAGCGCCGGTTCTTTGTTCCCGGCGGTCGCTTCTCCAGGTCCAGGTCCAGGTCCAGGTCCACCACCGGCTACCACAGATCTCACAGCCAGCTCTTTTGACGATACACCTGATTTTTTTAAACCAAGAGCTGTTCCTTTGGGAGAACTATCGTATTAGCAGGGTTAATTTCCAATTAGAGATGGCAGGTACAGTTTTTCCGAAACCTGTGGCCCTGTGACCGAGAAAAAAAAAGCCCTGCTGCAGCGTTGAGTCACGGTGCGGTTTGGGAAGGGTGCGCTCTGGAGTCACGCTAACCCCTGCTGCAACAAAGCTCCAATTTACAACGATAAGCGCTGACATTTTGAGAAATTACTCACTACTACAATGAAAGAGAGACGTGAGTTTACTCTTCTGGAGCCTTGTCTCCAAACTCCCAGGCAGTTTAATTAAGTCAGGGTAAGTTCATTTGCACAGCCACACCCTTAACTGACATCCAGGTAGACAGAGCCTAAACACCCCGGAATAAAAAGGCTTTGCGGAGGATTGCAGCTGCAGTCCTGGATCCCGGTACTCCCACCTGCCTCAGGAATATTTCCTGGTGATTCCCAAAAGTTCTGCGATAAGGATCCAAAAACTCCGCTGTCCCCTCCGTCAGTAAAGCCCTGGCCCGAGCAGCCATCGCAGCTGCTCATGGGGTGCACCCCAGGCTGCTGCTGGGCCACGGCCCCCCCACGCCTGCCCTGCTGCACCTGCCCGAGTCCTTTTATCGCCTATTCAGGCACCAAAGACGTCCCAGTGCCACATCCGCCACTCCACAAGCACCCCTATTCACGCAGAGACCCTTTTGTCCCTCGCTGGCCTAAAATCTTCCTTTTCCAAGTCATTTCTTCCGTGACACACAGCACAGTCCCACTCGGCACCAGCCCCTCCGCGCCCTCTCTGAGCTGGGCACCGTCCCATGCAGGCAGTGTCAACACAGCACCAAAGTTTGCTACAGATTGTTAACTGCAAGTGGGAGTGTTAGAGAAGTATCATCCTTTCCACTTATAAAAATAAGTCGCTAACCTAAGTCTCCAAAGAATTACAGACAGGCTTTCAAAACTGTGAGATACAGAACAGAGACCTCTTTATGTTGGTACAACGCTATACTCCAGCACCATATTGCCCCTTTCTGTTTCTCTCATAATTAAATATAAGTAACATACCAGGAGAGCTCCGCTGTATAATTGCTTTATTTTCTGCTTATTAGTTCTTTACCAACACTACAGCCATATTGAGAACACAAAATTCCTGTTTACTTTAGTCAGGGAGATCACAGTCTACAAACTCATTCACTTATCGGACACGATTAACGCCATTCAAAACTTACTCCATAAATTCACATGAACACAAATTGATGCACTTCAAACTTCAGATTGGATTTTAAATCATAGGATAGGATTTTCAATCATCTCTTTCATACAGATTGCCGCTTTATCCTACAGGCTACGTGTGCTGCCTGAGAGCCACGATTTGGTGGCGAGGTTCAGCTACGACCCATAAAGGATGAGTTGAAAGCGAAACCTTTCTATTTTGTTCAGTAGCCATGGCCGTTTATTTCTGACGTCTCTGCCACATGTTGCAGTAACTTTCTCTCCCCCTCCCCTCCAAAAAAAATAAAAGACATTAAAAAAATTCAGAAGCATAATCAGTTTCCTTTCACCTACAAAAACAGAATAACAAAGTTACTAAGGAAATACAAAATTGTCAATGCAACATAATGCAAAGTCTAGCAAAGTCTGCCCCAGCACAGAAAAGCAACTTAGACGAAAAATGAAGTTATTGAAGTTTTCATGTTGACTGAGAATAGATTTAAGAAAGTTCAAGAACCATTAATAGAGCTTCAAGTTTTCCAGTTTAGGCATTTACTTTGTGCTTGGCTATTTTATTTATGCTCCAGAAGAAAACAGTAACCGTATTCTTGTGTTTTTAGTCTTTATACCACCACACTATTTGTTAAGTTACAGCAACAGGAAAAAAAAAAAGGCTAGAAAATAGAGCAATGATATTCCAGTGGCAAAAAGCCTTGAGGGATACAAAAATGTCACCTCCTCTTCTTTAGAGCTGAAATTTAGGAGTTGTTATTCTGCATTAAGCTTTTGTGGACTCTTTTTACTTACAACCAGTGCTCTATCTTCTAGCATCAAGAACCCATTCAGTCCCATGTGCACCCCACAGCCAGATAAGCCTCTTGGAATCATATTCAAAAGGAACTTTTAAGTGGTCCAAAGCATTCAATTGCAGAAGAGAATTCAGTATTTTTATCTTCCCGTACATCTTTGGTAAGAGCTCCATATACAATGTACTTAGCATGCAGAGTCAACACTGCAGAAATGTAGTGTAATGCCCCCAATTTCATGTAAAACTCATATAATTGGAAAAAAAAGGCAAAAAAAAAAAAGCCATTTTCTTCTGGTTTTGTAGCATACATTCCTAGAATTCCCCAATCGAGTTTAACTCCTCGAGGAAATCTGAAGTTAATCCTTAAGGCTGAATAAGAACCAGCTGCTTGAACATTTTTCGCACCCAGCATTAACACTTGATTGAGTTTTTATGTTAATACTACTTGTTCTGGGTGGGGTTTTTCTTCTTTTTGCCAGTCACATCTGCCAATTGTGATACGGCAAATGAGCTGCTTGCCCTTTAAGAACTAATTATGGAAGTTTACATTCATAGTCGTATACTCACACTCTCTCTCTCTCTCTCTCCTCCCCGCTCTCATTAGTAGTTACTCAATGGGCTTCAGACATCCAAAATAGTTCCCTTCCTACAGGACTACAGCAACAACCGGCTACGAGACAGACGGCAAGGACTGCAACGACTTGCAAGAGTTCAGTCGAGTCTCGGAAAACTAAAGCAATGAGCAATTTCCTCAAAATGGCTATTATTCAGATGTCAGACTTACCAAGCTCAGTTACAGCTTAGCCTGGAGGTCCACAGAACGGAAAACAAAAGAAAAATTAAATGTCTTCCTCCCATATGTGCATGTTATAAAAAAAGGATTTCTGATTCTAAGATTTAGATGTCTTCAGCTGCCTTGAGATGAAAGCAATTCGCCTCGATCACAAGACAGGCAAGTCGGTGCTAGATTTTTGCCTAAAACAGCAGTGACAAAGTAAAACTTGTTGCAACGCTCGCACGTTATTGCTGCGTTTTGTGGAAGGAACCTATCTTGCATTGAATCGGAGACTGACATGAGTAGTAAAAACTGCAGCTAAACATCATTTAAGTTTGCGATGCAAGACAAAAACCGAGCAGTATCTACCCTGGAACTATTACATCATTCATGTCTTATTTGCTATATGGTCGCTATGTAGTATGGGGAACTTATTTGCATCCCTTCTCATGCATGATGTATGGTTCAGAACTTCACAGCTGACATTTCAAAGCAGTTCTTGCATTACCTAGTTAACATTGCGCCTGATATGCACTTTGAACATGTTACAATGGTATTCACGCTATCTGCCACTGCAGGCAAGAATTCGTTTCGGTATTAGTCTGAGATATGAAGACAGACTGAGAGTCACTATTTAGTTACAGATTAACAGAACTTTTAAAAAAAAAAAGTCCTTAATATAAAAAGACAGACTGCAGTTTGATTTTAAGCAATAATTTTCAGTTTACTAGATGAAGTAGACCTATCAACATATTCTGCATGAATGCAAAAAAGTAGCAATCTACAGCAAGTGATAGAAGAAAAAAAAAATTATAATCAAAAAAGTAGAACCAGAAAGCATACACTGAAAACGGTACCCCTCCCCCAACCATCCCCCAAAATAATCAAACCATCTTAAGGGCTATCGAGAGAAAAAAAAAAAAAAAAGAAGTTACTTAGCAAGTCTACAATGTGTCTTTCCCCTGTTTGCTGGAAGTCTGCCATAGCATCTAGTGCTTGTGTTCGTGTCACATTCGGAGATTAGAGCATCCTAACGCCAAGCAAGAAGAGTTAAAACAGGAATCCAGTCAAGTGTGCAGAAGGAAAGGGTGGTAACTGGAGAAAGGTGATCATAATCCTATGGATGCTTTTGTTTTACTTTTCAGTAGAGAATCATTCTTCCGGAAAGCCATGTGGGTTACTTTTTTTTTTTCTTTAATTCTTTGTAGACTAAATAGTTATTCTCTCATTAGGATTTATAATTGGATGTTAACCATGTCAGCCCTTCATAGAGTCCATCCCCTGTAGTAGCACAGGAGGGCTGCACGTACCAATTCCTATCCCTGATCCGGGTCAGGCCCAGTTTCTCCTGGATTTCGTGGGGTTTCATGGCATCGGGCAGGTCCTGCTTGTTGGCGAAGATGAGGATGATGGCATCCCGCATCTCCCTGTCGTTGATAATGCGGTGGAGCTCCTGGCGGGCCTCGTCGATGCGGTCGCGATCGGCGCAGTCCACCACAAAGATCAACCCTTGCGTGCCCGTGTAGTAGTGCCTCCAGAGGGGACGGATCTTGTCCTGGCCCCCCACATCCCACACATTGAACTTGACGTTTTTGTAAGTAACCGTCTCCACGTTGAAGCCCACGGTAGGGATGGTGGTGACGGACTGGCCCAGCTTCAGTTTATACAGGATGGTGGTTTTACCAGCCGCGTCCAGACCCAGCATCAGGATCCGCATCTCCTTGTTGCCGAAAATCTTGGACAGCACCTTGCCCATCTCGGCGGCATCCAAGGGGGCCCGGCGCCTCCCGGCTAGGGGGGTG